ATATTTTATTTAATCTGTCTGAGTATTGTTTACATATATGACATTTTATGCATTCTAATATAGAGGCTTATAAGGGTATAGCAAGAGTAGGTATAAAAGTAACTATTCTATCTTATGACTGAGGAGGAGAAATATAAGGGGATTTTGACCTTTTATTTAATTTTTGTATTCCTTGTTCTTACAGTATAGTTCCATGATCTAAATTTTGTTTTGAAGAATTAGTCTTATCCCTATCTCTCTTTTCTCTATATAGTTGTCCTTTGTAACATAATATTAGATATTATACAAAACTAGCATATTTCTTTATTTCTTTGTTATATGAAATTGCAGCTGTGCTTTTGGGTGAGGAAGAAGGAAGATGGCAAGAATAAATATTTTTGAGAAAAAGTACCCATTCTATAATGAAAATTTTGGAAAAGTTATTTTTTTTAATTCCTGCTCTGTGCTCTTCACCTACTGCCTACCCCTCAGCTCAGATCATCACTTCCCATCTTACTAACCTCCTAACTGCTTTGTCAGTTTGAGTCAGTAAACATTTATGGAGGGCCTTCTGTGAGCCAGGCACAGTGCTAGGTTGGAGATAAGAAGATGAATAAGAGGAAATGCCTTTGAGCTTGCAGTCTAGTTTGGGAGCAACTAGATGATTTCAATGTAAGAGATAAGGTAGGACTATGTACAGGAGAGTGGTGCTAGGCCCAACGGGGGAGGAATGTCAAGGCAAGTTTTCTAGCACAGCAGTTGCCAACCTTTTGGACGTTATGGACCATCAATGGCCCGCAGACCACTAGTTAGCAACCTTTGCTCCGAAAGGTTTCCTTAAACCAGTAGTCACCAACCTTTCGGACCTCACTGACCACCAGTTGGAGACAGCTGTTCTAGAAGACATATTGATAAAGTTAAGTCTTGGGCAATAGGTAAGAGCCAGGTAAAGGAATGTGGGAGCAGCATTCCAGCAGAGGGAGTGGTGTGAGCAAGGAAAGGAACCGTGTGCAGCAGTAAAACAACAGGCCTTCGTTTCTCGGGTGTGAAGAAGGAAGGGTGTGGCGGGCCCAGGGAATTGGGGCCTTGTGCTCTACATCAGGAGCTCAGACCTTACTAGCTGGCAATAGGGAGCCCCTGAGGTTGTCAAGCAGAGGTTTTAGGTCTCTGGCTGTGGAGAACAGATGAGTGGGTTTTGGTAGTCCAGCATAGAGGCAGGAGCTCAATTTGGAGTCTGGTATTACCCAGAGGAGAGTCCCTGGGGGCCGAACCAGGGGCTGTAATGGGAGGCATGTGGGGAAGGAGAGGGGGGTCAGCAGACGTTCCGGAGGTTTGCAGTGGAGGTAGGTGTGGAGGCACAGGGAGGACTTTAGGATGACTCAGGTGACCTGTTTCTGCTCTTGCCTTTCTTCATCCAGTCTGTTGCTCATCCCACAGATTCAGTCTTGTCCTAAGATGTGTCTCTAGTCTTTCCGGTATCGTTTCCCCTTTGTCATATGAAACTGTGCTGGCATTACCAAGCACCTGCTGTGCTCCTGGCTGTGGGAGGTGTGGGAAGGGATGACCATTGAGGACCAGTGGCTCCCGGGGCAGCATGGCTCAGGCCCCCCTGCTTGCTCCGTAAGGCAGGCTTTGGGACTACACAGGCCTGGGTTGATATCCTGCCCTATTAGTGGAGTGACCTGGGGTTGTTACTTTCATGTTTTGTTTAGTAAAAGGGCATAAAATCCCTACATGTTTGGAGTTGTTGTAAGAAGGCAACACACTACGTTTATATAGGTCCTAGGACTCTGTAAGTAGCACTTACTGTCTTTTCCTTTTAACAGATCTATCACAGAATCCCCAACTCTGATTCATCTTCCAGTAAGACAAGGCAGATCATCTCCACCATCAGAACACAGAATCTTCCCAGCTGTCAGCTGACCTCCCGAAGCCACTACTCCCCCTTTTACCTATCGTTTCTCATGCTCCTGGCTGCTCTGAGCTGGCAGTACGTGAGTACCCTGTCTCAGGTCACAGAAGACTATGTTCAGACCGGAGAACACTGATTTGTTGACATTGAAATAGACTGACCTTTGTTTCAAGGATGGATATTGGTGTCCCCTTTTCTCCCCTCCTGCTTTAATCCTGTAATTCTGTGGGCTCAGACCCTGGGAAACTGTGACATGCAGCTGAGATGAGAATAAAAGAGGGAACCTCACCCTCAGCACCTGGGACCTGGGGGTTGTGCTCACCTGTGCTCGGTGGCCGAGGGGAGCACTCAGTGGTGCGGGTCGGGAAGTCATTGCACTGGGCCCGCTGACAGATGTGTGCATCCTGACTAGAGTTGTAATTAAATGTATTTAATTTGAAGCAACCTTTGAACTCTGTTTCTTTTCTCATTTTTTCTTCCATTGATTTGAAGGTAATATCTGTGAAGTTTACAGCTCTAGGAATTTTTCTGTTTCCTAAGAATGGCAGACTATGTTCTGCACATGGAGACTGGGAATTAACTTCTGGGTGTTCTGGTATTTTCTTCTTTGAAGAGGTTAACTTTCAGAAAGATTGCCTTAGCCCCATTGTTGAAGATTGGTCTCTTCAAGGCTGTTTTTGAGATTTTGTAAAATAATGAATTGAAATACTCTGCAGTGGTCAAATGCAGTTCACTTGAAAGCTTGGGTGAGTGTGGCAGATAAAGGAACTCAAATATGGAATTAGTGCTTGAAGGACAGATGGTACCACGATGGCACCTGGCCCAGTACCAATAAGGACACAGCTGCCTGGCCCCTGCATGACGGCCTGCTGGGAGCTGGGAGCTGCTGGGAAAGGGGCCCGTGGCAGCCACCCCACCCCTCCAGCTGGTAGCCTGCTTAGCTGCCAGTCTTCTCTGCTTTTGACCAGTTCTCTTAGCTGCATTCAGGGTTTTAAATTCAGCTTTTCTTTTTGTACCAATTTATACACTGAAGTGTCGAGAAAGGCAAAAACCATGTTTAGGTGATTGGCTTGAAAGCTGAATGGCACTTAGCCAATTCCCCTAGTGCCGTGCTCACTTCCTCCTTACCCGGCCCAGCCGTTTCGATGTACTCGCACCCACAGTGCCTCGCTGAGCTCTCAGCTTGGACTGGGGAGAGACCTGGCCCCACTTGGGTGCCTGAAGCCCCTCAGCCTGGGAATCCCTTGTAGGGCGTTCCAGTGCTTTATAGAAGCCAGTAGTGCTTTGGGTGTATGTGGCATATAGCCTCCTCTTTGCTGCAGTCATTTATGAAGTGACTTAGTGAATTTGAAGTTTTTCCAGCAGTGGTGTTGGAGTTGCATTGTTGAACACATGCCCACACTGATTTTCCTCCTGTGACAGCCGTCACCGGACAGTTGGCTTAGTTTTTCAGTCCAGGGAAGCTTCAGATAATTGGTTCATTTGAGGCTCATCCCTGGACAAACTAGTGACTTGCCATGTACCCATCATTCAGCTGTGAACCAGACTCAAGAGCAATCTTCCAAGAGGTTTAAAGCATCAAAACTTGGTTTGAGACGAAACCGGCTTGGCTCAGTGGTAGAGTGTCAGTCTGCGGACTGAAAAGTCCCGGGTTCGATTCCAGTCAAGGGCATGTGCCTTGGTTTGGGGCACATCCCCATTAGGGGGTGTGCAAGAGGCAGCTGATCGATGATTCTCTCATCGGTGTTTCTAGCTCTCTATTCCTCTCTCTTCCTCTCTGTAAAAAAATCAAATATATTAAAACACACACACACACACACACACAAAAAAAAATTGGTTTGAGATTCTAGGACAGGAATTTGTGTGAAATCTAAGGTGAGTTCTGAAGTTCCAGGTGGACATCCTGGAAGTTTCTCCCATGGCTCAGCCATGATCTATGGGACTTGCTGAACTTGTGATTTGGTGACCTTAGTCCCTCTCAGCTGGAAAGCGGTGTAATTTTTACTGTCACTGTGCAGAGGTCTTAGATCTCAGGCCCACACCTATCTTCCCTTTCTTGAGACTTCAGATGTTTTCCTTTAAATGTCTCTCTACTAAAAGTGCCAGATGAAATGCAAGGTAAAACCCAGTTATAACTCAGATAAACTTAAGTATTGTAACCCAAATATCGCATGAGACAATACTTGTTTGCTTTGGCAGCACATATACTAAAAAAAATTGTCTGAAATTCTAATCAAATTGAACCTTTGCTGAACTTGTAACTCTGCCCTTTATAGCACACTTTAATCCTAGATAATAGAGGTAATATGCAAATTAATCCCCACATCATCACAAGATGGATGCACCCACAGCAGAGGCGGGGGTGAGTGATCAGCTGGGACCTGACGGTGTGTGGTGCCAGGTGGGGTGGGGAACCTGAGGCTGCACCAACCCAGTGGAGCTTGATGGGGGTGGGGTCAGCAGTTATGGGTCTCGCATTATTTCCAGGTAGGTGAGTGGGAACTTGATGCTGTGGTTCCATAGTGCACCCCAGACTCTTGGCAGGAGGAAGATTTTCATACACATTTTACTAATTTTCTTTCATCTCTGACACTTCTATTATAAAGGGCATATAACAAAATTAAAATATTTCCTCTAATTTTTTTTTTTTAATATTTTCAGCCTGGCCAGTGTGGCCTAGGGTTAGTTATATATATATATAATTTTATTTACTTTTTACAGAGAGGAAGAGAGTGTGAGAGTTAGAAACATCGATGAGAATCATCGATCAGCTGCCTCCTCCCCCACCCCCCCACCCCCAGCCGGGGATGTGCCCGCAACCAAGGTACATGCCCTTGACAGGGATCGAACCTGGGACCTTTCAGTCTGCAGGCTGACGCTCTATCCACTAAGCCAAACCGGTTTTGGCTAACAATTCCCTTTTAATGTGCATGAATTTCGTGTACCAGGCCACTAGTGTCATTAATAAAATGTATAGCATTCCTGGCATGCAATTTACTGATTCCTCCTCACAGTGGTAGCTAAAGTAGTGATCAATGATAACTTGGTTTATTGGTGCTGATCCCTATTTTTTTTTTTTTGATGCTGATCCCTATTTTTCTTTTTTTTACTAACAAAAACTCCTTAAGCCAAGTGTGAAGATGGCCTGCAATTCATCTTGTTACATTATTGTGCACATCCCTCCTGGCTTCCGGGATGAGGATGGAGTAGGGAACTTTGTGGAGGTAGGAGAAAGTATGTAAAAATGGAATTATTCAACTCAGTTTGGGAGTAGGTAGAATAACTAAATTGAGGCTATGAATATATTTCTGATCTAAATGTTAATAAAATGTTATGAATTTATAGCTTTTCCTACAGTGTTCTCTGGATGTTAAGTTGTTATTTTAGGAGCCTCTGATTCTTGGGAGTCACATCATAAGTCAAACTTGGCATGATTTTAGGGAAGGGAAATAAGATACTGATAGGCCAGGGGGATGGGTATAGATTCTTTAAGTTTCCTCTGTTCCCCTCAAGAACTGATGTACCTCACAGCTTATGGTTTTTAGGTAGCGCACCAAGCTCTGCCTCCACCCCATTCCAGCAGTGGGTGATGCCAGGGAAAAGCTGGTCCTCCAGAAGGACTTGGGCTGTGACAGGGACTAAAAAGACAGAAGCTGTGGTCTGAAAGGGTGCTGGAGCGGAAAGAAGCTAAAATGAAGTATTTACTTTGTTCTCCTCAACTGACAGCCCTGGTGGGGTTTAAAGATCCATAAGCCCATGCTTCTTTCTGGGGGATAAGGATAAACAGCAGCCACGCAGCTACAGACAGTGACAAATGACCTTTGAGGTCCCACCAGAACAGCACTGAAGGAGAAACCTTTTATTGGCACAGTATTTCTTTAATAGGGCACAGCAGTGATTTTTAAACAATAAAGGCTGGTTTCTCTCTATGTGTTAAGAGGTCAGTAAGTCAGTCAAATCAAGACCACCCAGTTTGTTTTAAGGAGACAGTTGGGAAAACGAAGTACAGCTCTTCCAACATTAGACTACATGCTCATGATCAGCTGAGGTACCCAAAAAAATATAACTTCTATTTTAAAAGGATCATGCCAAGATCAGAGCAGGTTAGCAACACTGCAAAGCTCGACAGATGCAGGGGCACCGGGAGAGTGGCTTTTTTCAAAGGGCTGCCCCACTGTTTCTTCTCAACGTATTTCCAAATCTAGAAAGCTGCTTGCTCGGTGGTGCTGCTGATGGTGGGATGTGTGGGAAGCTACCATTAGGAAATCCACCTTTCGTTCCTTTGGAAAAACTCGGAACCTGTAGGCCTATCATGCTCCCTGGTGATGCACAGATGGAGAAGGATGAAGGATGTGGAGGTGGTTGCAGGAAGAGCCAAGCAGCACTAGTCTAAGGGGGAAGGACTTGCTTTGCTTGTAGCAGTGGTTTAAATGCATTGTGACAACAGTCCACTGAGTGGCCTGGGAGGTAGCCAGGCCTTGAAAGTGTCTCCTTGGAAGACTGCTCTCATGATAGACAAGGTTTGGCCCAATCCAGTCTTTCAGGCCCTGTGTAAAACCCATCTGTACTCAAAGAATAAGACATTTCTATCCCTCATCTCACCCCCAGCCCCACTGCCCCGGGGCTGGCTGGAAGGGCCCACAGCAGGTTAGATCCTTTTCCAGTACTGGTCCGTGCAGGGGAGTCCAGCCACGATCTCCGACTCAATTCCACAGTGATCCTGTCCTCTGAGGATCTTAAAGAAGCCTAGAAAGCAAAGGGAAGAAGCCTGTAAAGTGCGCTGCGGGTCTGGGGCAAACAGATTCAGACTAATCCCTGAGAGACCCAGGAGCAAAAGGCACCTAACAGGCACCAAACCAGCATCAGGTGCTCTATCAGCTTCCACTGTCTTCACAGCAGCCCCGCTCCACATCAACCTCATGTCAACGTGGTGCAAGGGGGAAGGGGTGGGGGGTGGCAGGCACAGCAATCTGAAGCTGGGCCCTGTACCCTACCGCTCTCTCTCAAGATCAGAAGCTGCCCTTGGGGGGGAAGGACACCAGCCCACTAGGTACCTGGACACCTGGAAGGTCAGATAAGCCTAGGGTTTGGAGCTGTGCAGTGAGGAGAGCAGAGGAAGGTAAGATGACAACTGTGTTCTGGCTCATAACACCCTCTTAGCAGGAAGGGAACGGCCACTCACCATTGTCACCCCAGTCGGTGTTCCAGGAGTTGCCGACCAGCCAGTAGGGGGTGCCATTCTCCACCCCCCAGCCCAGAATGCGGACTGCGTGGCCTCCCACCATTTCTCCAGTGACATGCTGGTACACGCCTGAGGAAAGAAAACACCAGTCAGGCTGAGACCCAGCCACTGCCCCATCCCTCACAGCACCCCTCCACGTCAGCTGGCTCCCCAGGCAGGATAATCAGGGTCCCAAAGGCCTACTATTGTCTTCAAAGTTTGTTCTCTCTGTTGGGGAGTTATTTAAATATACTTTTGAAAGCCCAACACACAATTATGTTGAGTAAACATTAAAATGGGGATCCAATGAAGCATGCCTGTTGGTTGCCTTTAAAACTAGTTATAAATCAGAATTTTAGGAGTAATTTAACGTTTAAATACCAATGGTCTGTTTCCACATACTAGGACTCCTCGTAATGATTTGTCAAAGGCAGAGAGTTCACCTGCTGCTCTGGGGTCACCAGAGAGGAGATGCAGAAGAGGGCTGTGCTGGTGGGGCGTGTCAATCAGTGGGAGGGAAAAAGTGCTCAGGGAGCTGGCCAACCAGCTGTACCCTGGTGACTCACTTATTATAAAAAATGTCTTCTTTATAACATGCAGGCTGTGCAAAGAACTACCAGCTTTAGCCTAGCTGGTTTGGCTCAGTGGATAGAGTGTGGGCCTGCAGACTGAAGGGTCCCAGGTTCGATTCAGGTTCAAGGGCACATGCCTGGGTTGTAGGCTCAATCCCCGGTAGGGAGTGTGCAGGAGGCAGCCAATCAATGGTTCTCTCGCATCATTGATATTTCTCACCCTCCCTCTCTGAAATCAATAATACATTTTTTTAAAATTTACCAGCTTTATAGTATTTTTTTTCTTTCCATACGCATCTTCTTTTGTCTAATCTTTACTATTCTAAGAGTTGAGAGTTTTTTCCTGTGGAGTTTTCAATTTAGCAGCATGTACATGAGACAGAAGTGGTCAGCACAGACTGTTCATCGAGGATGAGGGGTTTCTAAGACAGCTCTTGGGCTGAGGGCTGGCCAGGTCCCTGTTTCCTTGTCCATGGAGGATGGTAGCCATGAGACTAGGGCTTTGCCAAGAAAAGATGAATAAAGAAGGTCACTAAACCCAGACACAAAACCCATTCAGGGAGGGGAGGCAAGGCTCCCCTGGGAGATCTCCGAGCTGGCTATTGAGGGATGAATAGTATGAGCAGGAACTAGCCACATAAAAACATTGCAGTGGGGATCCGAATAGCATGTGCAGAAGAGGCCAACAGGTGCAAGAAAGCAGAGCTGAGAGCAGTGATTACGAGTGTCGGGGGCCTGGCACCACCCGTCTGGACACCCTGCCTTCCTACTCTGATCAGGTCCTGCCAGCCCACCTGAACCCAGACCTCCCCTCCCTGCCGAGACCATCTGGGGCCAATACACACCAGACTTGTACATCAGGAAGTCTGAATACACGGAGAAGGCTGCCTCCACTGGGCCATTCTTGTAGATCTCTGCCATGATCTCCTTCTCGCTACTGGGGACGCTGTACGACTTGCATCCTAGCAAAGGAACCAGCAGGTGGGGTGAGACATGCCTCCAGAGGCTCCACCAGCCAATTCATGATTTACGGGGAGCCACCAGGTGAAGACCATCTAGGGGACTTGTCTAGTCTGGGGAGGGGTGGGGGGAAACGGGAGGGGTGACTATGATCAGGAACCCCCTTAGGGAGGAGTGATTGGGCTGAATCTGGAAGTTGAGAAGTGGGCGAATGTGGCCCTGAGGGCAGAGTGAAACTGGACCAGGATGACTAGACCAGGTCACTCCCCTGTACGAGTGGTTTAGTCATCTCTGAGGGTCTGATTCCTAAGACCACACCCCTGAGATGGAATTCAGGTAGAGACAGAAATCACAGCAGGCAGACAAGAGGCATTAGTGCCCTTCCTTGCTCCATCCTGTGTTCCTGACTCTGGACTGTTGCCCTGGCCTCCTCCTTTGGCTTGGGAAGGCTGTCAGTGGGTCTCAGGCCCAGTGTGCTTACCGTAGTGTTTATCTTCTTTGTAGGATGGGGTGTAGCCTGGCTCACAGATCTTGCTGCATGAAGGGGTTTCCCCCCCTTCCCCTGAGCATGAGGGCCGAGTGCCATTCACGTGGTGCTCACAGGGAGGGATGGAGTAGGGTCTGCAACCTAGGGGGACCAAGTAAAAAGGAAGATCTTGGCCAACAGCTCCTACAGAGGCCTTTCGAGGCCAGAAAGAATTGCGATGATGACTTGCAGGAACAGTAGATACCCCCAAGTCTGCAGCCTGGGTCTGTTCTCCCCTCCATTGCTAATTTTGCCAATGAGAGGATTGGCTTGTCTTTCTACCCTGTTTTCCAGCCCAGTACTCTCGCCCTCAACCCTCAATCTTCTTTATAGTGGAAACTGAGACCATCATTAGTTATTGCTTAGAAAATCCATCTGGCTAGATAGGGACTCAGGGCAGACACTCACCTACGTGGGAGTCATAGAGGCCACCAGACACCAGGCCTTTTTTTGTCCAGAAGTTCCAAGCGCCAGAGGGAAAGCCCCCATTACAGCTAAGAAAAGAGCCATTCATTGAAAGTCATCGTGAGAGAGGTGCTCGCTGCTCCCAGACTACTGCCTGGTGGAGCCACCACTGCCTTCAGCAAGCGGCCCAACAGACCCCCAATTCAACATCTCCTGGATTGTCCCTTCCAGAGACTCACCCAAGCTCTCTGCCCACCACCAAGACTCTCAAGACGATTCCTGTCTATACCAAACCAGGTTGTGTCCTTTCTAGAGCAGGGATTCTCAATGAGGGAGCACACCAAATATCCCAGGGTACTAAGCAAAACACCAGTGTCAGAAATTCAAACTTAACTGGAGTGGACACACCTTTTTCTTTTTAGAGGGCAGCCCACTAGGCTGTGTGACTTATCTGGGGAATCATTATCATTAACTACAGATAAAGATAGGGTCTTGAGGCTACTACATTGCCTTGAGCAGAAAAATCAGACCTGAATTCAGAAACTGAACCACAAATTCTGAGCCCATCTGTTTTGCCCAGACCCCATCACCCAGCCTAGGTTTAGGAGCCTTCCAGAAGACAACAGCCATACTTCTTCCAGACTCCCCAGATTCCCACAGCGCCTCGACCACATCTGTCCTCAATGTACCTCTTCCCCCAGGGAGTATCAGTCACCCTCCACGTGAGGAGGCCTCCAGCCCAGGTCTCCCAGGTGCCATTCCCTCATGGAAGGTGCTGCCTCAGACTCACCCTTCTCCACACTGGAAGCCACAGCAGGTGAGCAGGTCCTCGGCAGACACCTCCACGTTGACATGCCCATTGGTAAGGATGCAGATCCGGTCAGAAATGGCTTCCACAGCTCCAAATGCCTGCAGAAACAATCCCTACCCAGTAAGCCCCACCTCTGGACTTTGGAAGGCCGCAGTGGGCACCCCAGATCTCCTTGGTGACTAGTCTTTTTCAGCATCGGGCAAAGGTCCTGGCACTCACACTTAGTTTTAAAGCTCCTTTAATCTTTAAGCCTCCCTGAGTACTCAGTACATTTCTGAAATATGTAGTTTTGATTTTTAACATAAAAAAGCAGCTCACTCTTGCCCAAGTGGTGTGGCTAAGTGGTTGAGCACTGACCTATGAACCAGGAGATCACGGTTTGATTCCAGGTCAGGGCACATGTCCAAGTTGTGGATTCAATCCTCAGTAGGGGGCATGCAGGAGGCAGCCGATTGATGATGTTCTCTCCTTACTGATGTCAATTTAAAAATATTTAAAAATAATAACCCATATTATTATCCTTTTTTAAAAAAATCCAGCAAGGCTACCTCAAGATGGGGGAAATAAAGAGCTTCCCAGACAAAAAAAAAAAAAAAAAAAAAGGCTAAAGGAGTTTGTCAACACCAAACCAGCATTGCAAGAAACACTAAAGGGACTGCTGTAATGAGAAGAAGAGACAAAGAAAAACATAGGCATAAAGAATTAAAATGGCAATAAGTAAAATGTAAATGGATTAAATGCTCCAATCAATAGACTTAGGTTAGTTGAATGGATACAAAAACATGGCCCAAATATAGCTATCTACAAGAGACTTCAGAAAAAAGACTCACAAATGATGAGAGTGAAGCAATGGAAAAAAAATTCCATGCAAATGGAAACAAAAAAAGCTGGGATGGCAATACTCATATCTGACAAAATAGACTTCAAAATGAAGGCCATCACAAGAGACAATAAAGGTAATACTAAGAGGATTGATTCAATAAGAGGATATAATACTGGTCAACATATATGTGTCCAGTATATGAGCACCTAAATATATTAAAACTTCTGGAACACTTTAAGAGATATTGACAGCACTATAGTCATAGTAGGGGACTTTAACACCCTACTAACTTCACTGGATAGATCTTCCAGACAAAGTCAAGGAAACAGTGACTCTAAAGGACACATTGGATCAAATGAATTTGACATTTATAGAACATTTCACCCCAAAGTTGCAGAATATACCTTCTTCTTAAGTGCACTTGGGTTATTCTCAAAAACAGACCACATTTAGAACACAAAACAAGTCTCTTCAAGTTCAAGAAGACTGGAATCATTATCAAGCATATTCTCAGATTGTAATGGAATGAAATTAGAAATTAACTACAGCCCAGCTGGTATGGGTCAATGGTTGAGTGTCGACCTCAACATAATAAAAACCATATATGACAAACTTACAACCAACATCATGTTCAATGGGTGAAAACTAAAACCATTTCCCCTAAGACAAGAAACAAGACAGGTGTCCACTTTCACCACTCTTATTCAAACTAGAGCCTTGATGCACAAAATTCTGTAGGAGTAGGCCCAAGTGCCCATCAGGAGGTGAATGGATTAAAAAAGCTGTGGTACATTTATACCGTGGAAAAGAAGAATCTCTTAACCCTTTGAGACAGCATGGAGGGACTTGGAGAATATTATGCTAAGTGAAATAAGCTAGCCAGAGAAAGACAAGTATTACATGATCTCACTCATAATCTGTGTAATCTAATGAACAGAGTAAACTATTGAACAAAGAAGATCCAGAGACACAGAAGCATGGAACAGACTGTCAGATCTCAGATGGAAGGTGGGGCTCAGTGGGTAGGTGGGAAGAGATCAACCAAAGAACTTGTATGCATATATGCATAGCCCATGGACACAGACAATAAGAGTGGTTGGAGGCTTTAGGAGGGGGATGGGTGTAGGCTATGAAGGGGGGGGGAGAAGAAAGGAGGGGATAAATACAATAGTTTCAACCACAAAGATTTAAGTAAAAAATAATAAACACAAAGGTCAAACTTTCTATGATTTCACTTCTATGAGGTATCCAGACTAGTCATAGTCATAGTAGAAAGTAGAAAGGTGGTTGCTGGGGGCTAGGGGGAGGGCGGATAGGGGTTGTTAGTGTTTAATGGGGACAGAGTTTCAGTTTTGCAAGATGACAAGAGCTGTGTGGATGGATGGTGGTTGATGGTCACACACTGTGAGCATACTTAATGCCACTGAACTATATACTGAAGAATGATTAAGCCCGGGCCTGGGGGGCAATGATAAGATATGTACACATATAATACCTTAATAAAAAAAATGAAAGAAAGAAAAAAAAGCCCGGGGCTGTGTGGTTCAGCTGGTTGAAGCATCGTCCCATGTACCTAGAGGTGGCCGGTTCGATTCCCAGTCAGGGCACAAACCCAGGTTGCGATTTCAATCCTCAGTCAGGGGAGTGCAGGAGCAATTGATGGATGTTTTTCACATTGATATTGCTCCCTCTCTCTCTAAGCATATCCACCAGTGAGGATTAAAAAAAAAAAAAAAAAAAAGCCCTAGCTGGTTTAGCTCAGTGGATAGAACATCGGCCTGTCAATTGAAGGGTACCAGGTTTCATTCCTGGTCAAGGGCACATGCCGTGTTGCAGGCTTGATCCCAAGTAAGGGCGTGCAGGAGGCGGCCAATCAATGATTCTTTCATCATTGATGTTTCTCTCTCTCTCCCTCTCCCTTTGTCTCTGAAACCAATAAAAATATATTTTAAAAAAGAATGATTAAGATGGCTACATTTATATTGTGTATTTTACCACAGTTAAAAAAAATTAAGACATGTTAAAATATGTACACAGATAATTTAATTTAAAAAATGTAAAAGAAAAAATAAATAAAATTTGCTAAGCATTGCTTCTCTTAAAAAAAAAATTAAAACAGCTCACTGGGTCTTCATGATTTAGAGTGGAGGTCAAAACTAATGGTACTGGGGGTAAGGGGAAAAAAACAACAACAAAAAAAACCTAATGGTATTGCTGATGGCTCAGGACAGCAAGTCAAACAGAAATAAAAACATTTCACAACCCGCACATGGTCGTTGCCTGTGCACAGGGCTTTATACATTTTTTTTAATTTTTTTTAAATATATTTTTATTGATCAATGAGAATCATGTGATTAGCTGCCTTCTGCATGCCCCCTATGGGGGCGGGAAGGGGGTGGTGTCAAGCCTGCAACCTAGGCATATGCCCTGACTAGGAATTGAACTGAGATCTCCTGGTTCATAGGTTAATACTCAACCACTGAGCCACACAGGCTGGGCTATACAATTTTTCTCCCACCTAGCCTCTATAATAAGTCATGATCATAGGTTTGTTTTTTTTTAATTATTATGTTTAAACTGCTGGAGATTGAGACTCAGGAAAGTTATGTAATGTGCCCAGTCACAGCTGGTCCAACTCTGACTTCCCTGGTCACTCCCAGGGCCCCCCTCCACCACCCACTCCTGCTCCAGCCACCCAAGACAGCAGGGCCTCACCCAGCAGGAGCCACAGGAACCCTGGTCTCTGATCTCCCCGATGGTTGGGCAGTTTGGCCACTGTTCCCGGGCGTCGAAGTTTTCAGGCAGAGTTATGTCCTCAGCAAGCCACACTCTGGATAAAGGAAGATCTCCATTACAAACCTGTGTCTTACCACCTGTGCTGCTCACCCCACCCCATCCCTGCAAAGGCCAGCTGCCTGCAGGCCCTCCCCGATAAAGGGAGTGCGGCCCCTTTCAACGTACAAAAGAGGATGTCCTCTTGGAAGTTCAGAAAGTAAAACCTGATCCTACTGCGAAACACAACTTACCATCCCACAGCCTTCTTTCTCGACTTATTTTGTGGATGTTTTAGCCACAGGGTCCAGATAATTGTGTTTCTTGCCTCCCCCGCCCCAGCCCCAATCATACATCTGCCCTGGCTCCTCACCTCATCATTTTTAATATCTTTGCCACTGAGTGATGTTACATACCTTCCCTAACCCACCCTCACTGTCAAGATTTATTTAATGCTTCCTATGAGAGTAATAATGCCTACATGAAACTGTCCAGAATTTTCTAGAAAAGTAAAACATCAAGGGCACATCACACCTCTTTTCCCAGAATTTCCTTATTCAAGATTGGGCCCACCTAGCTGGTGGAGACCCCGACGTGGAGCTTTTCCCACCCAGAGAAGCATGCGGAAAACACTGGCATTAGGGGCTGAGCCCTGCCCTCAAATAAGAGTCTCTGGGAGATATGAGACCTGAGGACCCGGGGAGGCCTTCTCTCTTTCCTCTTTCCCACTGTCCCAAACCAGTGCCCGCTACTCATGCCCCAGGGAGCAGGTACTCACTTCTCGGGCAGCTTGGGCCCGCCCAGTTTGGTGCCACACAGAGTCTTCACGTAGCTCATGTCCACGTTGCGGAAGTTGTGTCCGGCCTGGAAGACACCCCATCCCAACAGTCACCCACCAACAGAGCGGGTATTTCTGGGGACAGCAGGGATAAGAATGGGACGCTGCTCACATTCAAGGTCAGACAAGGCCCGGGGTCCCTCCCAACTCAGCAGAGGATGGGGGCTGCGCTACCTCTATAGACCAAATTTCCCCAAAATTCATGCTGAAGCCTAACCTGCAATGTGCCGATATCTGGCGGTGAGCCTCGGGAAGGTGCTCAGGTCGTGAGGATGGAGTTCTTATGCAGGAGATTAGTGCCCAGATAAAGGAACCACCAGAGAGCTCCCCTCCCCGCCCACCATGTGAAGGTACCGAGAGAAGCCCGCCATCTACAAGCTGGAAGAGAGCCCTCACTAGAACCTGCCCCTGCTGGCACCTGGATCCTGTACTTCCAGACTCCAGAACTATGAGCAATTAATTTGTTTATAAGCCACCCAATGTGTGGCGTCTGTAGCAGCCTGAATAGTCTAAGATGGGCTCCCTGTAGAGCAGGCCTGGACCAGCCCAGAGGGGCCTTGTGGGCAGCGTGCAGTTCTCAGACCAGTGGGGGAGGGGGGGGTGTCTCCTCTTTTTGGCTCATGCCAAGAGAGGCCCTGAAGATGGCCTATTCCTCATTTGTTTGTTCCCAAAGTCCCGGGCCTCAGGGCTGGGCAGAACCAAGGAGCTGCTAGTACTGATGCCACAATACCTACCACAATGGAGCTCAGAAAGGAACACTTCCAAAGCCCGTCTACCTCCCCATGCACCTCCAACAAGCTTACACACACACACACACACACACACACACACACACACACACACGGAAGCGGGGCAGGGAGGAAGTGGGCATGGTCTGGAGCAGCCATGTCTCTGGATCAGATTTTCAACTGTCCTGTGGGCCACCCGTGCTGGGAGTCGGGGTGCCCAGACCGACCACCCTCGGGAGGGACACGTGCAGGAAACGGCCCCCACAGCCCACCTTCCATGTAGAGTTCCGCTTATTCAGATAGTGGACCAGCTCATCGGACAGGGGCTGCAGGCCGGGCCTGCTCCGTGCACTGGTCAGCACCACCAGGCAGCTGAGGGTGGCCAAGAGCCGCCACATTTTGGAAGCCGGATCCTAGCTCCACCTAGAAAGAAAAGGACACAAGACATCAGAGGCTGCTCCTCCTCCACCCAGGCCCACACACAGCAAGGTCCTGGGGCCGGGAACAATCCGGTGAATGAAAGATCCATGTCTTTGCCCCGGCTGCCACTTGTCCCCTTCTGTTCCCGATTCCTCTTCTGTCAAGCCGGGGTGGGCAGCAGAGAACTCTCAAGGACCCACAGTGCCTGTGGGCTCCCGGGTCTGCTCTCAAGGTCCCGACCTGCACCTGTAGCACACAAGACTGTGCTATGGTCTGTTGGTGTCACCCCCAAGTTCTGACCCCTCTATGTGGTGGTATTAGGACATGGGGCCATTGATAGGAGATTAGGTCATGAGTGTGGAGCCCTCATAAACGAGATCAGTGCCTTTATAAGAGAGACCCCAGAAAGATAGATCTCTCGCTCCTTCCGCTATGTGAAGACACAGCGAGAAGTCTGTGTCCTGGAAGTGTGCCTCATGACCATGCTGGTGTCCTGAACTTGGACTTTCAGCCTCCAGGCTGTGAGGAATAAATGTCTGTTTAGAAGTCGTCCTGTCTGTCATCATCTGTTGGAGCAGCCTGAATGGGCTAAGACAGACCACGTGCACGTCTCCTGCAGGGGGGCTGGAGCCAGGACAGAGAAGGGGCAGCCGAGGCCTGGGATGTGTGCTGCCTGGGTCTCCAGGGTGATCAGTTAGAGCCAAGGACCAAGCTCACAGTCTGAAATGGTGCTGTTCACTGGATGGTTTGTGGCCCAGACTATCTTGTGAGCTGTGAGGACCAGGGCTGACCTGCTGTTCTGGCAAAACCCCAGGACCCAGGCAACAAGCAGGATCAACGATAGTCTGTCCTACACGAATGAATACATCTACATCTCCAGGCTAACGTGAGTCCAGTGCCCTTCCTGCTATCTGTCTCACCATGGATTTGTAAGACAAAGTTGAGGCCTTTCCCAAGTTAGTGCTCCGAAAGAGTAAACATGTGATTATGTCGCAAGTGGAGAAAAAAAGAAAAAAAGAAAGAAAAAAAAAAGAAAAAAAAGAAGAAAAAAAAACACCAGATTTCATAAGCCACAATTTGGACGCAAAACATAAGCCATGCTATGGCCGGCGTTTGCCAATCTCCGGAGAACAGGGAAGCAGGGCTGGTTTGGCCAGTGGCATGGCACCCGTCTCCCAGGATTTTCTCCGGGTTTTCAGGTCAACCAAGGCCTCTGCTTCCAGTGCCAGGGATGGGCTTCCAGGAAGGGAATCCTCCACACCCCAACCTCAGCCCTTAGACTTGGGACTGGCTAGTGAGTCAGCAGACAGCGATTCCCAGCTCAGCCTTGGCATCATGCTGTCAGCTCCATGAAAACAAGAAATGCATCCTAATGCCACATGACCTCCCGGCCTGTGAAATGCAAATGCCCACATAGCGGGGACTGAGTGTGTCTCTGTGTGTGTGTTGGGGGGATTTCCTGTCCCTGAAATGACCCACCTCCTCACAGGTCACAAGTGACTGTGAGAGTTACATGAAGATGACATGTCTTAGGCGACAGCCCTTAAAACACTGCCTCCCACACAGTGAATTGTATCTGAGGGAATATTTAAACTTAACTGTTGCTTAAGCAACAATTCACCTGGAAGAATAAATGCGTAAGAATAGCTGGAAGGGGGGGGGAGGGGGTAAGGATAGCATGACATTTGGGGGGGGGGGGGGGGAAGCAAGAATGAAGACCTGGCCCGCGTGGTAGCAGATGTATTATAACCTCCAGGTGATGCTGGCCCAGGACCAACCTATCTACAAAACTGAGAGACCATTCAGAAGCATATCCTGTGTGAGAATTTCGTGCATGTGGTAAGGAGAGTGAGGAAATTGTGTATCTCAAGAGATGATGCTTATACAGCTGGCTACGCACTCTGAAGGGGGGAAAAAGTAAGGCTGAATTTTTACACTTGATTTCTTGCACACACAAAGTGCTACATGGAACAAAGACATTGAATAAAAACACCAAAGCTATAGGAAGAAAATAAATGCACTTGAAAAAAATGTAATATTGGAGTGAGGAATGCCTAAGATTGACATAAAACAGAACCTTAAAAGGGAAAATGTTTAATTACATGAAAATATTCTTCTAGAAAAACAAGTAGTAAGCGAACATAAATTCGTGCTTATATATACTTAAGACTTTGTTTTCTTATTTTCCAAAGGGCTCTTAAAATCAGAATAGAAACAATGTAATACAGAAATGGTAGAAGAACATACACACTGAATTTACAGAAAAAGAACTACAGCCTGGTCAGTGTGGCTCTGGTTGAGTGTCGACCTATGAACCAGGAGGTCACAGTTCAATTCCCGGTCAGGGCACATACCCAGGTTGTGGGCTCAATCCCCATTGTGGGATGTGTAGAAGGCAACCGGATCAATGATTCTCTCTCATCATTGATGTTTCCATCTCCCTCTCTCCCTACCTTCCTCTTTGAAATTAATATTTTTTTAAAAAGGAAAGAACTACAAATGGCCAACAAATATTAAAAAAGATGCTCAACCATAGGCAGCTATAGATAAAATTAAGGAGATATTTATTTTCAACCAGAGTGGCAAAGGCGGGACAGTAATACAGTGGTTCTCAACATTTCTAATGCCGAAACCCTATAATACAGTTCCTCATGTTGTGGTGACCCCCCAACCATAAAATTATTTTCGTTGTTCCTTCATAACTGTAATTTTGCTACTGTTAATGATTCATAATGTAAATATCTGTGTTTTCCAATGGTCTTAGGCTCTACAGCAGCGGTTCTCAACAGGTATTTACAAATAATGTTATGGCTGGGGTCACCACAACATGAGGAACTGCATTGAAGGGTGGCGGCATTAGAAAAGTTGAGAACCACTGGAATAGTTCTCAATGGGGGCAGGATGTGTGCTAGATGTGGGGAAGCAGAGATGTCACACTGCCTTGTGGAGGTACCGTCTCTCTCAACCTTCTTATTTGCATGCCCTCTGACTCAGCAACCTGACATTTAGATTTATACCAGCCTCAAAACACAAAGATACAGGTATACAGATGTTTCCGACATGTTCTCTGTATTAGCAGAAGACCAGAAACCAAGCAATGTACTTGTTAAGTTACCGTAAATGGTGAAATAATGGAATACAAAGCAGCCTCTAAGAGATGAATTAGTTGAAGTGAATAATACTTACCGATAAAGTAACTATGCCCAAGATACTCACCGCAGGTGAGTCATGGTAATGTAAGTGCTTGAACCCATTAAACAATGCCCAAGTATATTCCTGCCTCTACATGTTAAGCATCAAGAGAAACACACAGCCAAAACCGGTTTGGCTCAATGGATAGAGCGTCGGCTTGGGGACTGAAGGGTCCCGGGTTCGATTCCAGTCAAGGACATGTACCTTGGTTGCGGGCATATCCCCTGTGGGGGGTGTGCAGGAGGTGGCTGATCGATGACTCTCTCTCATCGATGTTTCTAACTCTCTCTCTCCCTTCTTCTCTGTACAAAATCAATAAAATATATTTTAAAAAAAAGAGAGAGAAACACACAAAAGTAATAACTAACTGCAAAGGGGGAACTTATTTTTTACTATACATCCTTTAAAATATATATATTTTGTATATTTATTTTTTAATAAATATATATATTTGAAACTTTGCTCTTTTAGGAAGAATGGTTAGGGCGACCAAAGACCCCTACCACTAAACTGAGGAAAGAACACTTATTTATTTTTTAAATCTATATTTTTAAATTTATTTCAAAGATGAAGGAAGAGGGAGAGGGAGAGAGAAACAGAAACATCAGGGATGAGAGAGAATCACTGATTGGCTGCTTCCTGCATGTCCCCTTACTGGGGATTAAGCCCGCAACCTGGACATGTGCCCTGACCCGGAAACAAACTGGTGACCTCTCAGTGCATAGACTAAGGCTCAACCAAGTGAGCCACCCCAGTCAGGACATTGGTCTCAACGGGCCACCAGATGCAATCATCTCCCCAGACTCCAATGGGGCTTCCTCCCTATGGTCTTCTTGCTCAAAACACTGACTTTCCCACTTTCAGTGACTCATGGGGAGGCTGCCACCCACATGACCCCATGTCAGGGACCCACGCAATCTCCAAACGCTTAGGTCAATGTCTCGCTGTGGCCTCACATGGCGAAGGGGGCAAAGGGCAATCAGGGAGCAGAGCAGTCGTCAGAGGAGAACCTAGGGCAGGAGGCAGTCCCAGGAGACAGCTCCCTAAATGGCAATAGGAGTGTCCCCAGGTGCCCCCCGGGGCTCAGCCCACCGCAGAGATGTTAACTCATAAGCAAGTGGAGATGGGAGCGCTTCCAGGCAACTCGGATATTAAAGCAGTATTCCTCTCTGGCCTGTGGGAGGAGGCACCTCCCACCTTCCAGATGGTTCTCAGCTCCTGCACTGACAACTGCCGTGGCCATCCCCCAGCCTGAGCCGCGAGTCCTGCCAGGCCCCAGGGCTCCTGCACCGCCTGACTTCCATGCACTCACCCTGCTGAGTCCTTTGGTTCCATACGTCCTGCCAACTTTGTTCTCCTCCCTTATAACTTCAGTGGAGAACCAGGGTGCCCTCCTGTGAACTAAGGACCTCTGACCACCGACTCTCGGCCCTTCCTTTCAGCCCAGCACCCCAGGCATTAGAGGAGAGGCTGGGCTGGAGACCCAGGGGTCAACAGCCACCTCCACCAGCAGTGAGTGTGGGCACGGGCTTGGAGTCAGGGGACCTGGATTCCACACTTGGCTTTTCCACTCACTAGCTGTGCAGCCTGGAGCACCAACCTTTGTGAGCCTGTCCCACCCCCTGTAACATGGAGCTCATGGCCACTGATTTCTCCGGAGTGTAAGGAGCTGGGCCGAGACCCCTGCCACAGTGGTTGCCCTCCCGCGAGAAGGCAACACGGGGCTGCTCCTTTGGGCATGCTCAGTTCCCAGGTCAGATGCACCAGCCTCTGCCTGCCCTCCCTCTGTCTTCTTTCCTCCACCGACAGCCTCTG